CCCCGAGCAGGCCCCGCCCCGGCTCCCCGCGCCTGGGGCCCCCACCCAGGTGCGAGGAAGCTAGCACCGCGGGGCTGCGGGCGGAAGTCTGGAGGGCACAGGGACCAGCTGGGTGGTGGCCTGAGGACGGTGGGCACCGGAGTCTGCCGCGCTCTCCACTGGGAAGGCCTCGGGCCATCAGCCTGAGGTGTAGCCGTCAAAGCCTGGAGGGTGTCCTCGCTCGGCTCGGGAGCCTCCTGCAAACCGTCGCTCGGCGTTCTCCTCGGGGGTCTCTGTGACGTCGCTAAAAGACACCTGCGGCGGGGCCTCGGCCGCATTTGTGGGCATTTGTGGTGTTCAGGGTGGACTGGCTGCTGTGGGCCACCTGACCCAGGGCCTCGGGCATGGCAGTTTTGTTCTAAATGTGCTCTTGTTAACGAAATGGAGCACCGCATACGTTTTCTCCAGATTCAATTAAGCATATCAGTTAAATCAATATAAATGTTTTCCCGAGATTCCTGTCCACGGAAAGATGCTCTGATCTTTTTGCCCGGCCACTCCAGTTGTTAACTACAATACTTGATGGAGTGTGGATGCTTGAACCACTTTGCTGGTGTTTTCTTTGCCGCTGGTGGCCGCTGCGCCAGGGAGGAGCGGAGGATGCAAGCGGCATTCTACAGGAGATGGAGCTGAAGAGCCAAGAGCTCTCACACCATAGATGGGTTTTTAAAAGACTCAAAATGGGAGTTGGAGCAGAAGGTGAGATTTATTTTTTCCGGAAAAGAAGTGGAGCATTGCCTCTGTTAAATAACAATAACGAATGAATAAACGCAACACACTTTGTTTGCAATAATTTTCTTCATTAACACCCCCCGCCCCGATTTATGATGACTACCCAAAATCAAGTTTGGTTTGGCTTGTGACAGGGCCTTCCTATGTAGCTTCAGCTGACTTGACACTATGTATCCTCCTGCCTCAGCTTCTTGAGTTTACAAGCATGTGCTGCCATCCTGATTTCCAGTTTTTAACTGTTTTGTTTTGGGGTATTGGGGTTTGGGGGCGAGAATGGAACCCATGGCCTCATACGTACACTACAAGCACATTACCAACTGAGCTGTATCCTCAGCCCTCCAGTTATTTTTTTTAAGCTAATGACATCAGAAGGTTTGCAGAAGCATTTTGTAGAGTTTGGCATGGAACTGATATTAGAAATACCAAAATATCATGCAAGGAGCCTAGAGTACATTTCTTTAGCTTATAGGCAAGGTTAAAGACTAAGGATTGGAAATAATTTTACCTCAAAAACTGAACTGAACACGAGGGTACAGCTAGAGTGCTGAGAGAATTAACTACAAGCTTTTTAGTTTAGGTAAGAAGAAAGATACATAGTCTATCTGGAATCAAATATAAAACCTGTCTGCTTATGTGTGTGTGTGTGTGTGTGTGTGTGTGCGCGTGCTAATAACAAGCATACTTAAATAGTTACCTGATACACAGAAAGAAAATGGAAAATAACATTATGAAACTGTGTTTCAAAGATGGTAGTGTCTGTCTGAGAGTTTCAGTTTCTGTGTTTTTAGTAGCCATAATATGGCTTTTATACTTAGTGCTTTGTGGTTTTTCTAAATAAGGGTTTAAATACAAATATAATTCAGTAAACACTTTCAAACCCCATGCCTAGTCTAGTCAGTAGAGCAGCTAGTCCCAACAGATTTCAATTTGGCAAAAATATTATGCTCTACTCCAGCAATATGGGAACTCTTTGTTTCTCTTCTGTGTAATAATCGAGCGTGACCTGGAAGAGAAAACACTGATTGCCTTGGGATATTAGCCTGCCAAATATGAGCAGATGAAATATCAAATTCAGTCAGTTATATTCCATGTAAGTAACCTTCTATTTTACAAGAGAAGTTGCTTTGCCAAGGTAAAATGCAAGATGCCAAATTAAATTTGAATTTCAGAAATGATGCATAACTTTTTTATTACAAGTATTTTTAATTCTTTCCCTCTTTTTTATATGTGTGGTGTTTTGCTTGCACTATGTCTGTGTAACACATGTGTGCAGTGCCCAAGGAGGTCAGAAGAGGGCGTGTCCCTGGATGTTACAGACCATCGTGAGCTGCCCTGTAAGTGCTGAGAATTAAACCTAGGTTCTCTGGAAGAACAGCCAGTGCTTTGAACTTCTGAGCCATCTCTCCAGCGCTAGTTTAAGTATTTTTATTCGGATATTTGGCACAGGGCTGGCAAGATGGCTTGGCAGGGTAAGGGACTTGCTGTCAAGCCTGAGGGCCTGCGTTTGATCCCCGGGACCCACGTGGTGGAGGGCGAGAACTGACTCCTGCAAGTTGTCCTCTGACCACCGCGCATGTGCTGTGGGATGTTCGAGCACACGCACAATAAATAAATAATTGGAATAAATTTAAAATAATAATAATAACTTGGGATAGTTGCCCCGAAAAACACTGGGTTTTACCTATCTGAAATTTAAATATAGGTGCATTCAACTTTGAGTATCTTATATTTGTATTTGGTGAATCTGACAGCCCTACCTACCTGTAGAAGACAGACTTAGGAAACCCATGGTAATAATGACCATCCGTAGATAACTAACATCCTTGCCCTGGACTGAGTGGTTAGTGTGATTTATTTCATAATCTTCACAAAAAACCAAAATCTGAAAGTGTTTGCCTAATTTTATAAATGAGTAAACCAATGTGAAGAGAAACTAATTCACTATGGTCACAACGCTAACGAATAGCAGCAGTTAGATTTAAGTGAGTATCTCTCTTCTGCTGCCCAAGGTAGAAATCTGGCAAAAAGTCATCAAGCTGAGGGAATCGAAGACCCAGTTGTAGGCCACTTACTGGGTGGCAAAATCCATTTCCTACTTTCTGTGAATGCGGATAGAATTGTTCCGCCCTTAATTTACTGAAAATCTTAAGATCGTTCCTGAATTTTAGAAGCACGTATAGAAAAAAGAGTTTGGGTTCTTCTAATGACTTTGTCTTTTGTAAGTGGATTTATAACGGATATGATGTTGGCACTGAGTTGCTGGGAGCTTTGTTCCTGAGAGAATGGATATTAAAATTTCCTGAGCCAAGCCTGGTGGCATCTGCCTCTAGTCTCATCACAAGGGAGGCAGGAGGATCAGGAGGAGTTCAAGAGGTCAGACTTGGCCACAAAGCAAGTTTGTGGTCAACCTAAGCTACATGAGACCCTTCCTCAACAACAACAAAAAACGACAAGGTTTCCTTACCAATACTGTGCTGGCATCTCATTGTTTTTGAGTCGTGTTCACACACTCCTTTCTGCAGAGTGACTGATTTTATTCCTGGGTGCTTTTAAATAAATCCTTTTGCAAATGACATCTCTACACTCTTGCGGATTGTAGAACAGACACATTCGTTGATTATCTTAAGCACAGCATGTAGTCCCAGCACTTGGGAGGTGAAGATAAAAAGATGGTCAGTTCAAGACCAGCCTGGGCTCCATAGTGAGTTCAAAGTCAGCCCTAGCTATGTCGTAAGACCCTGTTTCAAATACTCAAAAAATAAAATTGCCTTAGCAGCAGGGAATGGTGGCTTGCACCCTTAATCCCAACAGTTTGGAAGTGTCTTAGTTACTTTTCTGTTGTGGTGAAAAAACACCCAGACCAACACGATTGATAGAAGAAAGAATTTATTAGGGCTTACAATTTCAGAGAGTGAGTCTGTAACTGTTGTGGAAGGGGGCATGGCAGCAGGCAGGCAGGCATGATGCTGGAGCAGTAACTGAGAGCTTACATCTGACCCACAAACACCAGGCAGAAAGAGAGCTAACAGTGACACACCTCCTCCAACAAGACCACACCTCCTCATCCTTCCCAAACAATTCCACCAACTGCGGACCTAATATTTAAACACATGGGGCCATTCTCATTCAGACTACCACACAGGATGATTGCTGCAAATCTGAGGGCAACATGGGATACATACTGAGTTCCAGGACAGTCTGGGTTATATAGTGAGTTCCAGAACAGCAGGGATACATAGTAGACCCTCTCTCAAAAAAACAAAAAACTGAAAATTTTAAAGGGTTAGCAAAATGGCTCAGCAGATAAAGGCCTTGCTGTACAAACCTGCCAACCTAAATTCAATCCTGGTGAGACCTCTTAAAAACAGAAGGAGATAATTAATTCCATAAAGTTTTCTTCTGACCTCTGCATGTGCATGATGGCACAAATCCCCCAGCCACTCAATAATAAAAGACAAATAAATATTACATTTATTTGTCTTTTATGAGTGTGTATGCAAGTACAAATGCCATGATACCTTTACTCACTGCACCATATTGCGGAGAATGGAATCCAGGGCCTCACACATCATAGGCTCTGAGCCATATCACCAGCCCCTGGTTGTTAAGATTGTAAATGCTGTCAGCTGTTGCCATGGTGTGGATGTGCTCTGAGTGTATCTCTCAAAGGACCCTGTTTCTAGTATAGTGGTGTTGAGGTAGTAGAACATTTAAGAATGGGGCCTAGCTCAGGGGCTGAGCCCAGAGGTCGAGGAGGGCCATAGTGAAAGTGTCTTCTGGACACAACAGAACCACTGCACTTGGAAACTCACAGGAGCCATGGTGGAATCCAGTCACCATTCCAACCTAGAGGGGCTCACAAGACCCCACCCCTAGCTGAGGATGAGGGACTGTGGACAGTTGGTGGATTCTCAGGGAGGGAGAGTCAGTTTCCTTTAAAGGGTGTGACCCCCGGTAGGTCGACCACACTCCAGTGAATGGTCCCACACAGGAGTGGAGTTTATGGGCAGTACAAATTGGACTTGGGAGGTTAGTTAAATAGCAGAAAACAAGAAGCAAGAAAACCCGAAGCTGTGAGGGGGTTGAGGTAGATCTGGGAGGAGTTAGGGGAAAGAAGGGGGGCAGTGAACATGATTATTATGGTATGCATGTATGGAATTTTCAAGGAATAAAAAAAAATTTTTTAAAGGAAGAATCAGAGCCCAGATCTGGAGATGTAGCTCAATGGGAGAGTGTTTAACATACAGATGCCCCGGGTTCAAACTCCAACACTGGCAAAAAAAAAAAAAAAAAAGAAATGAGTCAAAAGAGGAGAAGGGAAGAAGAGGAGGCCTGGGCACAGAGGAAGTAATTAATCATATGGCTTATCTATGGGATTGACACAGTTTTCACACAACCAAGTTACTTCTTCCAGGAGCAGCTTGCTTGAAGGCGAGGGAGGCTGTCCCATTCACGGAGCCCCTTGGCAAGTGGACCAGTTCTTTCCTTTGTCATGTAGTGCAGCCAGAATACCATCGCAAGAACCAAGAAAATGCCAGTGCTGTGCTCTAGAGCACCAGAACTGTGAGTTAAATAAACTTAATTCTTTATAAAGTAACCAGCTATCTTAGGGTTTCTGTTACTAAGACAGCGACACCATGACCATGGCAACTCTTTTCTTTTTCTCTTCTTTCTTTTTTCGTTTTTTGAGACAGGGTTTCTCTGTGTAACAGCCCTAGCTGTTCTGGAACTCACTCTGTAGACCAGGCTGGCCCTGAACTCACAAAGATCTGCCTGCCTCTGCCTCCTGAGTGCTGAGATTAAAGGTGTGCACCACCACCACCACCACCACCACCACCACCACCACCACCACCACCAAGCAACAGCAACTCTTACAAAGGAAAACATTTAACTGGGGCTGGCTTGCAGCTTCAGGGATTTAGTCCATCATTGTCATGGCGGTGTGCAGACAGACATGGTGCTGGAGGAGGAGCTGAGAGTTCTACATACATCTTGATCACAGGCAGCTGAAGCAACTGTGAGGCACACTGGACAGCTTGAGCATATAGGAGACCTCAAAGCCTCCTCCACAGTGACGCACTTCCTCCAACAAGGCCACACCTCCTAACAGTACCACTTCCTATGGACCAAGCATTCAAACACCCAGGTCCGTGGGGACCACACCAGCCTCAAGGCTTTGCTTATGTCAACATAAAACAGATTATATAACAATTGTGTTTGGCATTTCGAAAGAAAAAGGTCATGATACAGGCCGGGTATGGTGGCACATACTGGAATTCCCAGCAGCTGAGAAGCAAAAGCAGAAGAATCTCTGTGGACTTGAAGGTAGCCTGATGGACACAGCAAGGTCCGGGTCAGTCAGGACCTGTCTCAACAAACAAACAAACAAGCAAACGGGCTGGAGAGATGACTCAGGGGGCAAGAGCACGCTGGCTGCTCTTCCAGAGGACCTGGGTTCAATTCCCAGCACCCACATGGCAGCTCACAAGTGTCTTTAACTCCAGTTCCAAAGGATCAGACACCCTCACACAGACATACATGTAGACAAAACACCAATGCACATAAATAATTAAAAAACAAAAACAACCGGGGTGGTAATCCCATCACTTGGGAGGCAGAGGCAGGCAGATCTCTGAGTTTGAGGCCAGCCTGGTCTACAGAGCAAGTTCCAGGACAGCCAGAGCTACACAGAGAAAACCTGTCTCAAAAAAAAACTGAACAAACCAGATATAACATAAAATCCAAATGACTGACTCACTGTGAGAGGTTATTTACTTAATTCAGTTATGAAATTTTGCAGCACTGAATGGAGGTAAACGATGGGTGTTGATTTACTGAAGCTGATAGATGGATTAAAGGGATCCACTAAACTTGGTCTGCTTTGTGTATTTTTGAAATTTCCCAGTATTGGCAGTACTCAGAGAACGACCAGTGCTTCAGTAGCATGCATGATGTCTTGAATTTAATCCTGGGGCCAAATATGGGCAGAGGATAGGCAACCTCCCTGATACTTATTTTTCTGATTCACTTAGCTGAAAAACAGCCAGAAGGAGCTATAAATCCAATGCTGTTGTTTTTCTGGTTGTTTTAAAGGGAGCACATGAGGTCTCACCACTAGTCAAAGCTATTGGTAGTTAACAGCTACCAAAAGTGTGTGTATGTGTATAGTAGTACTAAAAATAGAAGCTGTTTTGGGGGTGGTGATGGTGCACACCTTTAATCCCAGCACTGGGGAGACAGAGGCAAGTGGATCTGAGTTCGAGGGCAGCCTGGTCTACAGAGTGAGTTCTAGATCAGCCAGACTACACAGAGAAACCCTGCCTCCAAAAAACGA